AGAGTAACTCCTTACTCTCCTCTCTCTTTATCTCCTTCACTATCTTCAGCTCATCTTCCTTTCATGAGAGGCAGAAAAGCAAAAGACAAAGTGCAATAATCAAATCTAAAGAGTCGGCGATGGAATGTTAACCTGTCGCCGCAAGTGTGAGCCTCTGCTGCCACTGTGCTTGGACAACCTCTGACCTCTGTAGATGACCGCAACCTATCAGGGGGACAAACTGACAGGCCCGGGGTCTGATACGTGAACGCGACTGTGCTGAGGCTCGTCCTTATTTATTGACATTTTATAGATTAAACGGCCGATTAAGATAAAGGAGAAACAAATGAATCACGACAACAGTAATTAGCAAGATGCCGAAACAAAAGTGAACCTGTTATTTATTAAAATATTTAGCTTCAACCAAAGACTATAAATGTCTTTAAGGTTTCATTTAGTAGTATAACTGAAGTGAATTCTTTTGATCTAAGGTTTATATGTGCACTATCCTGAAAGTCTGTCAGACTCTCACCACTACTTTCAGATGCCAGAACCTTAAGACATCGTGTGGTGTGTTCAGGTCATCCTGTATTAAACCAGACTGAAGTCCCCTTTCTTCAGATTAGCTGTATTTGTGCACACTGCTGTGGCTTTAAATAGCCTGAAAGCCAGCAAGTCCTATTAAGAAAAGTTTTGGCAAGGGTATTTCCCAAAGGAAAACCAAGCTCAAGGAGTCTTTCATCCCACCTGCAGTGATAACACATACATGGTTTTATGAGAATGGGGAGTCATGCTCCAATGCATGCAAGCACCAAACAGGGAGTAGAGCTTTAATTGTGGGCATGGGAGGGGCTTTTCAATGCTAGGTGAAACCTGCTATGTGTGGGTTATGGGTTTCTTAATGCACTTACAAAGTGTTTAAGCCTTCCTCTGAGGAACAGAGTAAGCAGGACAGACAAGATGAGTGCACAAAGAGACAGAGTGAGAAGAGAGAAGGGATAAAACAGAGGGATAAAATGATGCAGAGGACAGAGCCATCTGCATCCTGACTCCTCCAAATCCACAACATGGACTGCAAAGTATGAAACAAGTCTATAAATCTCAGCAATAATCATTTTTTTGCCTTTGACTCTGGGCTTCACAATCATTTCAGCACAAGTTAGCCAACAGGTGCTCTAACATTGTTGATTTCTATGGCTCTGAACAGATTTATTTCTGCCCTGAAGGCACTTTTTTCTACTAAATCTCCACTAAGGGAGAGTCACAAAACTTAAAAGAAAATCTACCAGGTAATTAAGAGTTGAAGCTTCTTGCTTGCTGAGTGAGACATTTTATTGATGCTTTATGTTCTCATGAGAAAAGAATTTAAGGGTAGAAGCATCAACAAAGTTATTTTTATTATCATTTAATCTGCCAAATATTTTCTTATTTATTGACCAATGTCATAAAATACAGAAGCTGAGCTCCTTAATTGCGTTGAAAGGAATTTTTAAAAACTTTTCAGTTACTGCAAAGTATGAACTACCTAAACTTTTTTTTATGAAAGAAATGAGCTGTGACATGAGCCAAAGGGGGGGAGAGGTTGTGAAGGGGCCTAGTGCTTGTGTTGGGGACGGCAAATCACGCAGTGATCAGTCGCCTCATTTAGCATTTCTGGAATGTTCCAGCCTATAGCACCTGCAGGGAGACAGCGTGACAAGTCCCACCAAGCTTTAAAGGAATTCAACAGAGGGGGTGATGTAGGAGTGGAGGGGGGGAAAGGAAAGGAGTAAACGTATGGAGATGGGATATGGGAATTTGTAATGGCCTATTTTTACTATTTTCTGATGTAAAAATGATTAGACGCAATGCTACTACAAGTCACGTTCCCCTCATCGCAGTTAGTCATTTTGTAAACAAACCTCATTTTTCATTCACTGACATACAGTCTGAAAATCAAGTCACGTATTCTTATACTCGCCAAAACACACAATGACAAAAATTTATGCCGACTCGATGATCGCAGTGATGGATAAGACACCTCGAGCACGTTTTAGGAGTCTACTACTCGATTATAATACAAATATAAATGGGCAGAAGTTGGTGCAAAGAACTGTAAGAAAAACACATCCAAAAACTGACCGGCTTGGTTCTTCAAGGCTAAAAATGGCAAAACCGTTACCTGCAAACCATAACAAATCTCAAAAAGAAAGTCAAAAGCAATGATAAAATTTTAATAAACCTAAATACTTTCATATCTGCACAGAACTACACCCATTCAACATCTCCAAGAATGGCAGACTGATTCAAGTTTTGTCCCTAAAACTAGCTAGCCAGCATTTTGTCACCAGACTGAGACCACAAACAGTATGCACAAATATGTTTCAGCTAAGTCAAAACTAATGCCAAGACTACATCTCTGGATGATTTCCTAATGGCCCAGATAAAACCGATTCACATGCTCAATCTCTCCCCTCTCTGTCTTGTCCTGCCTCCTCCCCTCTCCTCATCCCCGTGTGATGTTTTCTCTACGCCAACCCGTGCCAGCCATTATTAACACTTTGAAGAAGCTACTACTGATTTCCTCCTTCTGTATGTTCACTAAAACATTAGCCTACTCACAAACAAGGCTCTTCAGTTGCATTACAAATGTCCACGGTGGCTAAATGGAGTAGTCAGTGTTACAGAATACAATCTTCAATCTCTGTTAACACTAGAGATATGTACAGATTCTCAAAACTGAAAACATTTGGCTGGGCCACAGCAGTGACACCCAAAGACACGGTTACCATGGTTATGAAAGCCCAGACCACCCAATGAACTCATCTGTCATTCAACCCACACATACATTTGTCCACCCAGTCACCCACCCACACGCACATATAGCACACAAAACAACAGGGAGGTGGGAAGTGGTGCAGGAGTCAATTCAAAGTCAGTGCAGCTCC